GCTGAATCAATAGACTAAACTTGTTAATTTTTTAAGTCTGTATCGTAGCTTCTTCAGCTTTTGTATTATATGCGACGGGATAGTGGTCTGACTCGTTCTGAGGGAAGTACGCCTGTGACGCATCGAGCAGAAAACATCTAGACTCGAGAGTACGTTTTGGTATAACAAGTCAGCTGCATGTTCAAGTTCAGGGGAGAGGAAATAGTTATCCCAGTCTACAGATCGCAATTTAACTGCAAAAGCTTTCCACTTAGTCATGTGATACTCACAAAAGCTTATAATCTTTTTGAATGCATCGTGGTTGTAGGTGAATCTTTCGAAGTTGATCTCTGCTATCTTGTGGTCACTCCCAGGAAGATTGGGAGGATGCGTTTGCTTCTAACACGTATGTCTTTTCACAAAGTTTACGTCTAGCAAGTGTTCACTTCTTTTTGGAGATGAAATTTGTTGCATCCAATCAAAAGTATGGACTGTTGATAATAAAAAATGTAGATAGTTTAATGGGGACCGCGTGAGGGCCAAACAGTGGGAAAATTGACTAAGGGAATACAGAAGTGCAAACGTGTATGCAGAAATCAATACGTATCTTCTTTTATTCATGCTCCCGTCAGTGAAGTAGGACGACATTGTTTCCTTTGAAATGGAGATTATGCCACATGGAGACAATGGACTGTTTTATAACGAGCAAAAATGCGATTGCTTTACAGGTCTCGTGGGATGACCAGAGTGTGGATTTTAAAACCAAAGGTTAAAAACTACTCCTGAAAAAGGGAGGATTTTTGATTCTATACGACTCGCCAAGCTATTTACATGAACACCGATGTAGGTCTCCTCACCGCTGTTACGAAAAGGGCTGGTCAGCACACTAGCGTTATTTCTTCCTCTGACTGAAACGGATTATATCACGTACTACAAATTGGATTGCGTCCTCAAGGCATTTTTTGAAAAGAGTTCGTGTGGGAGCAAAATGACGTGACTTTGAAAAGCATTTCGGATTCAGGATACCCATTGGTTAAGATAGCAGAATTGATACACACACCATTGACAACCTCAAACGGAAATGTTTACTTGGTTCTAACTGAGACGTTCAGCATTTCGGGCTTGACGGCCCCTCGAGCCATGCAGTAGCACGGTCATTGTTGCCAATGATCCTAAACTCAAGCATTCCACGTCCACTGACGGTCATTGAGGCTAGACACCCTACCAGTCTTTTGGGCTTTGATATGTTTTCTTACGTTCAATGACATATAATCAACATTTCTCTATCGAGTACACACGTTTTCGGCGCACGAACATTTTGCAGACCAGCAAGGAGCAAAATCGTTTTACAAACTAGCAGCCTACTATATTTTGGTTGCTAGCGCTTTGTAGCATTCGGTGTTACAAATCACTAGCCAAGTATGTTCCAACCCTACTTGACTCCTCTTTCCAAGTCACTTCCTAGGTTCCCACATTTGTTCCGTACCGATCGCCAGCTGCTTTTTCTCGAACTACGTCGCTGCCCGACATCTACCAACTTGGTCCCATCCGAGCAGCAAATAGCCCTCTTTTAGTGATGGCACTGTTCAGTTCCTGGACTTTGGTTAGTACTCTCTAAACTCTTGTTTTACAGAGGACAGTGCTGCCATTCATTGAATGAGAGGGCGGTACCGCAAGTGGCACCTCCCGACCTAATTGTCTCGACGTCCACGGAGAAAATACCCGCCCACCCCTGTTTGACCTGTCTGATGACCTCACTGTGATGTTGATCCAATACTGTACGCTGTCGGGCGCGTCCGCAGGTTTCGGATTGGGAACTACCTTCCTTGTTGAGGTAACTGCGAACAAATCTCATTTTATTTGCAGACAAGATGCATAAGCAGTCGCGCACAATCAGCGGCAGCTTCTCGGAGCATGGGGAGTTCTGGACTAGTCACCTGGTTCTCCATCAACTATCATAAGTGCTCGTGCGGCGCTATGTCAAAGCCAAGGTAACCGGCTATAGTGTTACTGACCACACACTTCTGTAACCAGGAGTGAGTACATAACGGAGGGCGGATGAACAACCTAGTTGACCACCGGCTTCTATGTGGACTGCTACCGATCACAAAGAAGGCGAATGAGCCATTTAGCTATCAACGGTCTTCGTATTCAGCAACTTGTGTGAATTGCAACTCTATCTTGCAGTTCAGGTCTTTATGACTCTAAGCTCGGGGTAGGGTCCCTTAAGTCCACCTTCTTCCTCGGGCTGGGCAACCGCGAAGCTCTCTGCCTACACAACACATAAACCCACCTAACTCTCTCATTCTTTTCCACCTTTTTGTTGTTGTTACCCGAATGTTATGGCACTGTCGATTGCATATTAGCCAAGTGTTGAATATATATATATATATATATATATATATATATCATTGATAAATTAGACATTCATATTACTTGTACTCTGGCTCACTTCCTACAAGATATTAGCCCGCAACAACTTTTCCGTCTGGAACTTTCACGACTCTTTGCTGCAGGTGGTGGATTTTCTTCTTCCTCACTCCCTCTTGTACTTTTCAGTCAAAATCTTTCATATGCTTACCTTCTGAAAAGATACCCACATGGCAACTCATATTTTGTCCAATCGCAACGAATTATCTGATGACGTGACTTGTGTGTAATCGGTATTTTGTTTACTCCAGTCCAACTGTTTCATTGCTCAGCAACCTTAAACCTTGTTCTTTTGCAACGACACTCTTGGTTTCCCCTCTTACTTCTTCACACACTGAGTATCCGCCCAATAGTTTTGGTTCAGCCGCCTTGGTCCTGCTGCTTAATTCGTAGATAAAGCTAGTTGCTATTCGTATCCACTAAACCAGCCCTTTAAACCATCCTAATAGATTTCAGAAGAGTTCGTGAACACCCATTTCCCATCTGCTTCACATATGATCTTAGTGATCGAATTAACCAGGATTCACTTCAATGCGAAGCACAGTACACATTGAGTTTGCGCGTCCCAATCCAACCACACAACGTCTGCTACAAAATTGTCATCCAATCAGCTGGTTGGTATAATTTGTGTGTAACGTTTCGCTTTTAACATAAAAGCTTCGTCAAATCGAGTGAATCAGTAGATGATTGGTACAGCACCTACAGCAAACTTGGAAGGTACTCGACGACTGGGATATAGATAATAACGTTAAAAGTTAAACCCTCACTCCAAGTATTGCATTTAACGGTTCCAAGTGGTCCGCGTTACAAGGTCATCACACGTAAGACCCTGTCAGTGATGGGTATGGGGATAAGTTGACGTTCATTCTCTACTCCGATCTATCCGCTGATGCTCCTCAGACTGGTTAGGTTAAGACAGTTCGCCATAAGTTCGAAAGATTCACCCGACCCATTCTGTTCAGGCAGCTGCTGACCTTGTTGTTCTTAGCAGTCAGCCTTTGGGGTGCTGATCGCAACCCCCTCTAACGATCTCGACATTATCCAAATCAATTACATTTCCTGAATCTATCACCTCCGTCACTGCTGCCAAATCTCTTAGCAGAGCCCCATAATCAGTTTCGTTCCTCGACATCCGTGTTATGCGCCTCTTGTGTTCTTCTATCCTTCTGCACAGCCCTCTAGCCGTTTAGTCCGTATACACGTGTGCGCAGTACTTGTAACTAATTTTGTAGACGCAATTAGTTGTCCTATCTGCCGGAAGTGGATCCTTCAAGTGCACCACTGTCGAGCGTAGCGTTTGACCCTTCCGAAAAATTAACCTTATCATTCCTTTGTTTAATACCTACCGAATGACCTTAGAAGTTCCCTCTTTACAAGGAATTTCTACCGTCCAAATTCACTCCGTATACATTGTGGATGCGCACCTAAAATACAATGCAATTAGCGTTTCACTAACCGACTGCCGTATCCACTCTCATGCATTTGCTTCATTGCTTTCTTCCGGGCACCCCCTCCTACCTTCCTCCTCTGTTCACATGGTCTGGGCTCTGTGAAACAGAGATTAGGGTATCCCAGCATAGACATGCTTTATGTGACCTGAACTATAATGGAGTACCCCATCTGTGTCCGTCAATTTATGAAATATCGTTGTTTTTATGCTACCACCATTCCTGTGAACTACGCAGTCAAGAAATGACAATGTGCCACTGCAAAATTCCAATTCTATGGTGCGATTTATCGTCTCAGCAAAAGCACTCAAGTGGTTTAAAAATTCACCTTTGTTATCCCTATTTATGATCGCAGAATACACCAACCGGTTGTTTTCAAATTCTTCTGAAATCATGAGTTCTTTATCAGTTCTAAGGATTGTCCGTGATGCTAAATATCCGGACAGGTTTTTCACGGTCTTCGACACTTCAAGCTTAGGGGCAGCATGAGCAGATTCATCGGCACATTTATCTCCAGTTATTCATAACACGATATACCAGCACTGATGACACAAATGTCGCTGTATACTTCAACGCATAAATTATTCAAATCTCTGTCCTCCTCAGCTGTCGTACCACCCACCGCTCATTTCAGTAGCATGTGTACAGAGCAACAAACCTACCGGTTACCTCCTGGGTGCTGCGTACCACTCGTTAATCTGCTAAAGCTGTTTTCCCATCCGGCATACGATGCTCAGTTCGTTGGATTCTGTCAAACCAGATCTACCGTTGTAGCCATATATTCTATCTCATAGGGCTGTGTCAGTTAGTTAGTGCAGGACATGCAATATCAGTTGTGTGAGGTATCTACAAGTTTTAATCTAACTTCTACTCCTCATGGTATCACTTCCCCAACTCTAGATTCTGAGTTGTTCGCCATCATCATGTACACGGTGGGATGGTCCTTTCATCACGTCGATTGTGTACAGCACTCGCACCCACATCAGGCCAGATTGTGTAACGAACTCGTTAGTAGTGCGTTGTGAATCTGGATGTGTTTGCACTGTTGACTGGAGTTCCTGTTTCGTACGGAGTGAGTCACGTGCACGATATCTGCCGTATCATCACCGGGCCACTTCATATAGACTGTTCGTGACCACAGTGCTGAGCTAAACTCTTTATACGCAATATATATAAATGTACAAGATAAATGATGACAGATGATGGGCACTGGAAGATTACTGAAGTGGATTCTTATCACACACCCCGAGAGTGATGTATTCCTTGCGTACTCAGCCCCCCCCCCATTAGCCATGTGGCACACTGAAGGAAATTCAATGCTTTTACAGCCAGTAGTTACGTTTACGTTTTGCACATTTTCATGGATTCAGAGATCTGCTCCAATTTCTCCTCCAGATCATCCAAATTACGCGCCAGCAATCGAAGTTTGGAAAGCAGGGCTGAATGAAAATCAGTCATTTGCTTCATAATTTGGCACCTCAGACCAACATCTTCATCTCGTTGTTTTGATTCCGATTGCGCAGTTTTACCATCTTCATCTGCACGCAGTTTTCCAGCCTGGGTTCTTAAGGCGTTATTTTGGCCAGGCTGCGCTTTCCACTCATTTTGAAGAGAGTGCTGTTCTTCTTGACTTGCTTCGTGTGCGCTCAGTTTGAGATCACTGACTGCTGTCTGGAAAGTCGTGAAACGAGAAGTTTACCGCACTACACGAGGTTCAAAATTCTTTGATTCTACATTGAAACATCATTATTTTGCTTTATGGTAAAACCAGTGTGTCGCTTATCTTTACCAATTAGTTGTACTACTAACTTGTGCATTCCAAGTAAGTTTGCCGAAAAATACGGTGTGACAGCACGATTAGTAAGTACTGGTCTGGATTACCACTATGTTGTTAGATCTTACACAAATCGCCTAAATTAATACCATAGTTTGACATAACGCAAATCGCCACTACTTTAACCCCAGCATCCATATCGAAGGTACTGTGTTTTTGCTGGAGTCTGAACCACTTGGCAAAACGCGTTTTACTCGTATAGGTGGCAGGATCCTGTTCCGGATTTGCCTGTCACTGCAGCCTCCATGGGGACAGCCAGAGGACGCGTATACTGGTCCAGCTATTGTCCACATTAGACCATCGAATCGAACAGTATCAGAGTTTACACAACTCCTGTTAAGATTGAACGTAAAACTTTAAACAAGCGTCAGATAATCCAGCCGCCTCTGGGTTTCGTATTCTTGTTAGCTGAAATAATGAATTCGCAGTTTGTGGAGCTCATTGTTCAGTGTGATAACGTGAAACGTCACTGTGTGCTCAATTCGGTTGTCTTTTTGTCGCGACCAATGTGTGTACGGTAATGCATTAAAGTGATAATTCGTTCTTACGCAATCATTTGCTACCAAAGATGATCCCAACAACAAGGAGTCGAACAGTTTTAGGAGTGATCTAGTGTCATACCTACTGCTCCGAAAGTCAAAGTCTCCGCAACTATAAAGAACAATTAAATTATCACAGGTAAACTATAGACTCACCTAAGTCATCACGGTCCACTCTCAGTCAGCAGGCTTTGGCAAGTCTGGAAAAGCACCAGACAGCGCTGTTTTGACCCTCTGCATCCCATCAGTAGTGCGCCTTTCATCGAACGCCTGCCCGGTACCACCCCAGGACTTTTGGATACCAGCACCTAGCGTTACTTCGCCATGGGTGACAGCCACGGACATAGGTTGGTAGTTGACTGATATAGCCTGGCTCATCCTCCACTACCATGCCAGTTACGAACTGTGCAGAGAACGGCAGTTAGCCCCAGAACTATATCAAAACCCACTACTCCTTAGTAATAAATCTTGTCTGTATAGCTTTTAAGTCCTGTGTCGTATATAAGCGCTATGCGGTCGTCCTAGCTGGTGGGGCTAACTGCTGTCCTCTGCACAGTTTGTAACTAGCATGGCAGTAGAAGTTGAGCCTGGCTAGATCATAGTCAGCTGTCAATTATACAGGTCCGCAGCTGTCACCCATGGCGAATCGGCACTAAGTGGTGTCATATGCAAGTCATGGAGTCGGAACCCTGCATGGAAGGCGCACCACTGACGAGACGCAAAAGGTCGAAACAGCACTGTTTGGTGCTATTCCAGACTTTCCAAAGCCTGCTTACTCAGAGTGGAGCGTGATGAATTAGCTGAAGTATACCGAAATCCTATACTCATTAGTGATAAAGAAGCAGGTTAACAATTTTTGCAGGCAAGAAGTGAAGCCAAAAATTGAATGCATCAAGAAAATGTAACGTGTAACAATGAAATTCTCGTAATTTTCAAGTATAAACAGTTTGCTTACGTTGTTCCGTGTCCCATTAACGGGTTAGATCATATAATACAGCTGGTTTAAAACATCATCAAGTCGAATTTTGAAACCAACTAACGTAGAAACGGAGATGCTCCAATGCATAAAAACGTTCGATGGCTGGGATGCCACAATGGCGAAAATGATCCGGTGATAATTCAGTCGTCTATACTGTGCAGCCAATTTCAACTAGTGGCCTCTCAAGGTGGTGTAGAAGCTGTTTCCATAACCGTGGTGGTTAGGATTCTTCAGAATTCGACATCGCAATGTAGTCCTGAAACGTTGGCAGTTGGGCATAGGCTACTCTGTATCGGTGCCGTAGATTTCCTGCGAATTTCAATGCCTTCCGTAGTAATGTTTGTTACCCCAAAGATAACTCAGCATCATTGGTACCTTAAACATGCAGGCGGTGTAAAGGGCGACAGAGAATCACCACTGACACTGGTCCCAGGCGCTGTTCTGTAAAGCCTGGAGCCAGAGGTTTGGTGAGTTACGTGGACATCAGTTAGGAAGTCGAGACGGATTCCTATTATCCAATAAACCGCTCAGCGGATTCGTCTCCTTCTGACAAGCCGCTGATTACTCACCTCAAGCCTAACGCAATCCCTATATCCGGCGAGTAAAATGGAATCCTCCTCCGCAATCAGTGAACGGCCGGGTCAAACATAATTTATTCGTTCGTCTTAACAGCTACATTAGAAGACGTATTAGTCAGCACCTGATGCTCATGTTCTCACCACCTTTTACTACTGCACCGGTGCCAGCCGACAAGAGCAATGTTACCTTATCGACTAGGGTCAAAGGCATGAAGGCACCTGATGTCCGCAGGCGGTGTACACATGTTATTACTTCTGTACAGGCATAGAGCTCAATGTTGTTTAGTGCATAAGACATACAGGACATAGTTCGATATTCTGATATTGGTGGCTTCGCAAATTCATGAAGCCAGATTTACCCTATGCAACATATGACCAAACTTCGGCAGCCAAATGTCCGTAGCGACTCATGCATCTAGCGAGGAAGGGGAGTGGCTCAATTACTTCTGTTAGTCTTACAACGATACTATACACCTTATATAGTGAATGGACTTCCAAAGGACTAGGCTAATTCATTTACTGATTCACAGTGTAGCTCCGTTATTGTCAAAAGTCAAGGTACTACTGTTTGGGTTTCCCAACGTAACCAGATGTACTACCATCAAATACTTGTTGCCTTCACTGAGGGGCTCTACAACAAAGATCTCCATGAAGGATTTCGCAATAAAGTTGAATGAAACTGGGGAACTATAGCAACCCTGATGAACGCAAAAAGGAGAGATGTCCGACTATTATGTGAATCACCTGAAGTGAATTGTGATGTTTGTGCATGAAGCAGGTAAATGTCCCTATTGTCTACTCGAACATTTATCAACACAAATTTACGTAACCTAAGGGAGAGATCGATGGAGAACTTGAAGCGTACGCACAGCTGTAGCCGCTCATTGGCGCGTTTGACACTGAGATAACTGAGTGAACGTTTGATGTATATGCTGAGTCGAAGTCGAAAAGCAATCCTCTATTACCTCATTATCATGTTACTCTTTTGCGGTAAGCCGGCAGACGAGAATTGGAGTCGGTTTGTTGGTATATCTCCATCTCGCTACAGTAGACATTTGTCTGCTACATTTAGCTCACACCTAATCGCATGACGTCGCCCTGGTCTAGTTGATAAGTCCATGTTCAGCCAAGTAGACAACGTCAGTATAACCACACCTATATGCAGCCCTCAGTTCTCGCTAATACTGGCATGCCTAAACGTGCGCAATATGAAATGGATTGGCCAAAAAGCAGCGCTTACCCGAACACTGTAACTTTTACAGGCAATCTAGCGCATAGCGTTAATAACTTGTCTAGTTAGAAAATCAAAAGCACCTGTTATTCATGTAAGTTCACACGCGCGTGAATCCGGTATCTCCTTGCGTGGTGACGTGCGCCTACCATTAGTGACACACATTATAAAAATAATAACAAAATAAGTAGTTTATTCGCTATAGTATCTAGGCACACCTTAACAGGCATGATCAAAGTTTTACAGACAGTCTTTCGCAGTAGGCACATTGTGTTACATACATAAAAGGCGAAAGTACATGTGAGGAAAAAATCAAAAGTAAAGTGGCAATTGTTTGCGTCCATATGAGTGTAGCATAGGTGTCTATGAGGGACAGGGAGTGCATTCAGGTATGGTCCCGAGTAGGCTGACACATTGGTGTTAACGGAAGACAGACAGGGAGGAGAGTGTCAATGCTAGAGTTCACCAACAGCGTACCTAACTGAAGCTGATCAACCCAGCATGAGGTGTTTAAGTGTTCTCCATCTGTACCCCTTTAACAGAATTTTGTCGGAAAGAGTAGCCGTTGGTTCGCATTCGGATAAGGCAGGTAACCGGTGTTCCTGTGCCAGATTTCCAGCGCTTGTCCGAACAGGCCGTAACCTATCGGGCACACAGTATGTGATCGATCCAAGGGGAACAGTGTTAGTCGCATATTTATCCTCCCGTTTAGTATGGCCTTCGGTCGAAGTAATATTCCGCATAATAATAATAATGTTGATAATAATAATAATAACAATAAAAGTGAGAAGAATAATAATGGGCACATTTCTCATCAGGTGAAATGCTGGGATAATATTTGGCACAGAACATTCCTCACAGGTGATGTCCTGCTCTTGCAAGTTATCTACTTATTTTTGTCTGCATTCCTGGCAAGGTATTTGTCCCATATGTTTGTCTTATACGATGCTATGAGGCAACTTTGCAGTTCGAGTATGATGTAGACACTGAGGGTTAATTACATTGCGTAACTTGGTGGTATTACACCTATTACATGTTATCTGGACTTTCATTAAATAGATAATCGAGTGAACTTCCCACGAGAAATACGACAAAATGATGTACAAGTCGAGATAGCTTCCCTAGTTACTGCGAAAGGATTGCCCAGTCTCACACGACCTGATTGTGAATGGCAGCCGATTCCACAGAGAAGCATAAATGGCGAGACGAAATTTAGACCGCAAATTTGTCCTGTATCGTAGTATAATCAGGGTAAGATCGTCGTTAGCTAGGTCCAGCGTTTAATGGTGCTGCAATGTTAATGTGGATCGATTGCAAGTGGTATTACCATGATTCAGATTGTACAGCAGTCGCAAGTTATCTTTTAGTCTTCGCAGCCAAAGCGAATCGAGATGGAGTTGCTGGCATCGCTCCGGAGTTCTTGATGGAATTGTTTCCAAATATGTTCAATAGTTCAATAGTGTATGGTGGGATAAAAAGCAATAACTTTACAAGACCCACAGGATGGCAA